CTGCGGGCTCAGGCCCAGCTTTCCCCCCCCCAGTTCCCCCAGTCCCTCTCAACAGGGCTGCTCTCCGTCCCTTCATCCCCAGCCTGATGCCAGGGTTGCCCCACCCCAAGTGCAGGACCCTGCACTGGGAAGCTGCCCTCATCTTGCAGAGCTCCTCCCCAAGCACCTCTGGAAGAACCAAGAAGTTTCTTTCAAAAGACAGCTGGAGGGCACTGCTTGTCCCCTATTACGTTCCTCAATTCCCCACACTGCTTCCCTGCAGCGAGTGCCAGCGAGCAGAGTACAGACTGCAGTCCAGAGTGAGGCAGGAAAGTAAGGTACCTGGAGTATGACGATCAAGTTTGACCTGTGATGACAGCTATAAATTGCTTAATTTATTTTCCTGTTTGAGGATCAGCTGCGATGGCAAGCAAAGAAATCACATTTGAATGTCTACACAGAACATTGGTGTGGGATGCAAAAATCCTTGTTAGCTCTAAGCAGGCTGCTCCATGAAATGAGGTGCACCACTACTTTTGCTCTTTTCAGAACAACTCCTGTTTATGTCAAGAGGTAAGCAATGAGCTTACCATGAAAGCTATTAATATGGGAACTGAGGCCATACCTGGTAATAGCTGCAATAGGCATAGTCAACAGCTGTTCCCATGGCTTTTCTCTGTCCTTCCCTAAGAGTAACTGGTGCAAGGATATCTGCACCAGCTTCAAGCAGCTTATCAACCTGCAGAAAGCAAATCATTACACACCCAAGCAAAAATAAAAGCTTCCCAGAAAAGGTGCATTCACACCACAGCTAAATAGACAGGACTGAGCATCAGAGCTTAACCTCTATTTTTAAGGCTATTTTGTGCAACAAACCAGGCATTCCTCCTGCCCCTGCAGAGCAGATGATGACTTGTCAAATCTACATGTGTTGATTCTCTTCTACACCGACAAGTAAAACCTTCTGGAGGCAGTTCCTATTTGTTTCTGGATATCTCATCACCTTGCAGCCACAAACAAAGCAGGCACAACTCAGGGGGAGGGGGCAGAACAGACCCCAGCTAGGAAAACTGCCTCCACTCCCACACCCCTCAGCTGGAGCTTTCCTCACCTCGACCCTGAATGAGATCAGCCTGGTGCTCCCTGGGCTGAGGAGAAAAACTCCAGTTTTCACAAGGCCAAACGCTGCCATTGACCTCATCACAGATGAGAAAGTACACTCATCACAAGTGGCACTGACCACCTTGCAACACCAACCAAACACAATGCATCTCTCTCCACATGTGGATGCCAGCTGTGTTTATAAAAAAGGGAACAATCAGACTCGACAGGGCCGTGGACACTACAGCCATCCCATTTGGCTCTAACGTAGTTCTTCCTCTGCTACACAAGCAGGGTACCATCCTCTTTACTCCAACATGCAAATGAATTTCCATACAAAACCCGTGTTCCTCAGGAAAGGCGCAAACAGCATTAGGAACCGACACAAATTCATTGTTCGGGGAGGCGGGGGGCGGGAATCAGCTTACCCATTAAAGAGAAAGGGAACTCAATGCACCTGACAAAAATCACTGGCTTTCTGAAGTTTACAGAAACCACCACACACAGCCGTTTCCTCAGCAAAGCAATCCTCTGTGCTGTTGTTCTCTGCCGCTCATAGGCCGTACTGACCGCTGCGCAGAGGGCATTTCTGACTGCTCCACTTAAGGGCAGATTTGGGTCAGCCCCATGTCTGAGGAGTTCAACCACTGCCTGCAAATGTGCATATGCAAAAGTGACAAATTAGTGACTGGAGAAGACATTATTGACAGTTCTACAGCAGGAAAGCAAGACCCAAGCCAGATCAGTCAAGACCCTGAAGCTTTATGGCATTTACCCCAGCACACCCGAGTATCTGCTGCCACTTGTCACAGCTTCAGCAGCACACAAAAATTTAGCCCACCAGACAGATGTTTTCACTTCTTTTAGCGTGAATCATAATGTCAGCATGGAATACTTTACCAAACAATACCATCAAACGCGTGAGAAGGTAGCTAAAATCACCTGGTCTGATTCATAACTGTATTTAAAAAAAAACCTTTACCACAAAGATAAGGATCAGATAGGTTGATCACTTACAGCCTACTAGATCATTACTTGATCAGATGTTAGCCTCCGAGAAAGTGGGAGAAGCAGTAGATGTTGGTTGATATGGGACTTTCTATTTCATTCAAAATCATGGAATTTAAATTTTTGTGTTCCAAGGAAACACTTTTGCCCAGAAAAATACCCAAATTGTCTTAGAAATTATGAAGACGCTATAAGGAAAAAGGCTCAGGTTCAAACACTTGATACAGAATCTATTTTATATTTCATGCAGTTGTAGCCACTTCTATTATAAGCCCCTCCATAGTCCACATCCTAGGTCCATATTCTATTGTATCCAGTTTTATTTTTATAGACATTTAATAACGTTCCAGTGAACGGAATACAGTTAAAGAACAACACAAAACAGATATTTTCTGCTATGTTCTACCATTTATCCTACGTAAAGTATAAATTTTGAGGCAACAGAGGAAAAGGTAGAATGTTGATTTCATCAAATATACTGAAAAGGGTTTCCCCTAGCTTTGCTCATGGCTGTGTTCTCAAGAGAATACTTCTCTGGATTATTTGTGTGCTTTTGTACTGGAGAAAAGTAAACAGGGAAGCAGAAGTCAGGCTCCAGCCCTGCCCCTTTCCGCTCATCTGAAGTGCCTGGCTCCAGCCAGCCACTCTTGCCCCTTGCTCTCGGCGAGGCCCGGTGCGCTGGCTGTTCAGCAGCCGAGCTCTGCAGGGAGTGGGGTGGCAGCCTCACCCGACACCCTCCTGCCTTGCCCTCCACAGGGAAGATTAGCCCAGATCCTGGACACACCAGTTCTGCCCAGAGAGGCAGAGCACTGCCGGCACATCCGCCTCATCCCCTCTCTGGCTGCTTACCTGCTCTCGTGCCACGCTGGCCATGTGGACCGGCTCTGACCACCCCAAGTGGGAAGCAGAGAGACCATTCCATGCTCCAGAAGACAGGCACTGACTCCACACACTGAATTCTACTGCGTGAACCATAAGCCTCACTTGTGGAGCTCTGAGCCTCCTTACTACCAAATGCTTTCTAAGACTGATCATTGATCTGTTCGTACAGCGGTATGCTTCTTACCATGAACGGCTACACTTTTGTCTCATACCCAGAAGCAAGTGGTTTGGTGTTTGGTGTTTGGTTGGGTTGCTCCGGGCAGGGAGGCAGCCTGTAAGAGAACTGAATGTTCTTGTGATTCCTAAAATGAACACAGTTCTCCAAATGCTAGTCCCTTCTGAGCCCTGCCCAAATGTTTCTGGGTACCTCATACTAGTCCTTTAGGACTTCACTAGTTCAGTTCACGAAACGTCCATAGATTTCAAAGAAAAGTAGAAAATTTATTATTCTCATGAAAATGAATGATGGCAAGTGCCACTCATTATGTAGTTTGGCTGTCATCAGAGAAGGCAGATGTGAATGGAGAAGTACACCCCAAAAATGAAGGAACTTCAAGATGCTCACCAAGTCATTCCCACTGGTAGTTGCTAGGGAAAGCTGTGAATGGCCGCTCCAAAATGTGTTTGGATTTGCCTGGTGCTCTAGCAGGAGGCAGATAACATCTCTGTCATGCTTTGTAGGCAAGTGCGGTGGAAAAAAAGTAGAATTAGATCATAATAAAGTTAACTTTCTAATATTAAATTTAATAATAATAGCATGATTAATGAGCAGCATAAAGCACATTCAAACCTTTCACTTAAACTATGATGTTACAGTAAAAACATACGTCCACTTTCTCATGACTGAGAACCCCAAGCACAGTGGCGTTACACATGAAACCTCTTCACAACAGATTATCAAATCCCATTAACCCTGCCACCAGAAAGCACGTGTATGTTTGCTTCTGAAGAAGCAGGTCTCCTCTCTCAGATACCTTTCCCCAGCTGTATGTAACCCAAATCTGCTAGAAGAATGTTACTATAGTACAAAATCAAATGCACAAAGGTTAGTGCATGCCAAAACTAAGACGGTCTAACTTCAAATTGGCCTTGTGGATGATTAAGTTAATGGTCAATTAAGCAAAGGAAACCTGACTAAAGGAGTTTCTCTTGTCGAACAGAAATCCAAAGATTTAAGAAAATTTTTTCCTCAAATGTTAATAGATTTTTAATCAGTACAATGATAATAATTCAGCAGAAAGGGAGTTTTTTCCTGGTATTCAATCTGCTCCTTACAGAGGGATGAAATGACTTCACTGCCAAGTTGTGTCATTTGAGATTAGCTTAGAACTGCTCCTTGTGAGAAGAGCCGCGATGCCATGATCTTACCTCACTGCTATCCTCTCTCTCGCATGCAATACGCAATGCAGTCCTTCCACCTTCTTCAGGGACAGGGCCACTATAGCAGGAATAGTACTCTTGTGGTGGTCCTGCTTCATTTCTCAGTTGCAAAGTGACAACACCCGTCAAGTTGGCTTCTTTGGCTTGAGGCTAAGGAATCCAAGTGAAACGATGTCCACATTTGCAACACACATTAAAGACAAGTTAACAGAAAACAAACCTGCCTGTTGACCCAATAGTCGGGATCTCAGTCATGGACAAGACTTGCTCAGCCTTACAAAAACAACTGCCACTCTTCTTCTACTTTCTGCTTGACATTCAGGTCTCATCTGCTAGACTGCTCTCACACTGCACACTAAGAAGTTTAATAAAACCACTGGCAAATTTGAGAGATAGATGTTAATAACTTTTACTGGGCCAAACGATAGGGCGTATATTCCAGGTGCCAGCTACGTTTTCATGGAGGCAAACTATCCACATACACCCCCCAAAAAAATCTGACACCATCAAAAGAAAAAAAAGGGCAAACAATACTTGGAAATCACCCAGAAACTCCATCACAAAGTGTTCTCAGCGGAGACTCATCATTTCAGGCATGTTATTAACTCAGCTTTACCCACAAGCCTTACATTCGATCGACCTTTACAGTCCAATGAACGACAGGCAATATGCACAACAGAGCTCATGACAGTTTTGTAGATGGCATCAACTGGCAGACGGGCAAAGGATGCAGATACACCTACCAGCTGTCGGAGATGAAATTCAGGCCAACATAGCCTGGCAGGAAGGCTGCGGTTTGTCCGTGAATTTCTGGAAATTTTTCAGTGACACAGCTTGTTGCTATCAGCGGCAGATTTCATCTGGATTTTTGCAGGCGAAAGATCCAACTCCAGCAGCACTCAGTCCTTGGTCTTTACTACCAGCTCAGGCTAAAGGAAAAGAAAAAGTCACTTTCTACAAGATTCATTTATATTGAAACAAGCAAAACTAAAATAAAGTAAATGTTTGATTAAAGCCTTGTATTCTTCTGAGTAACAAAGTCAGTCAGTAGTCCTACCAAGGCCACAATGGGCATCAAATCAGCAAACAAAATACTGGACTGAGCAGCACATTAGCCAAACCATTAACACCGTATCTGAACCTTTCCTCTCCAGGCTCAACTGAACACTGTCCCTCTGGGTGATACTATTTAACCAGCCTGAAAAGATTTACAGTAGAGTCTCTACAATAGACTTCAGCCCTGCAGGAAGCCAGGGAAGTCTATCCTCCATATCTCCTGAAAATCCAGTCCTTATTCAGCATATAAAAAGGTCCAGCATGGTTTAATGGCTTTTATTGCCCACTACCTGGAGGGAGCCAGAAAACCTGGCCTGGGCTAGGAGTTGTGCTTGACACAACTTGTTTGTGGGAAACAGCTTCCAACTCTAAGCTCTGCAGCTGCTTAACTCTGCAAAGCTACTGGAGGCGAGTCAGGAGAACAGGAAAATCCCCCACTGGAGAGGGAGGAAGCAAATATTATTATGCAGCAGTCACTAAAAGATGGGAATAATAGGAGTGTAATAGGAGTAGTGTGTGGGGTTCGCTGGGTGGAGCAGGGCTTATAGGCCTTGCTTGAACAAAGTTAGTGATCAAAGGATGCCCTGATGAAAGATTCAAGGACTGTGGAAAAGTACAGAAAGAAGTAAACAAGAACGGAAGGAGACTGAGTAGTTGGCCAAAAAATCTAATTGGCAAGTAAAGATGTTACTGGGAGGAAGTTATATCCTGGACTAATGAGAAACTAGATATCAAATATAATCAGTAGTTGTCACCATAAATATCAAGTATAATCTGTAGCTGTCACTAGAGAATTGCATGTTTCGATGAGATAATCTTAAAAATAGTATATAAGGTACTGAATCTATTAATAAAGTTGGACATTTGCAGCATTCATATTGTATGTGTATGCTTTGTCCATCTTCACCACGGACATGTCGCAACAGTAGTGTATGCAAAACCCTCACCAAGAACAAAATCATTTACCTCATGCAGGTATAACTTCCAGTTGTGTGACATTTGTCTGGTCCAGCAACAGGAAAATTGGAAAAACCATCCTGCTGTTTAGCTTTTGCCACCCTTGCTGCTCTGGTGTGCATGCTCTCACCAGATTCCCTTGCAGTAAGAGCCTGCTTTGCTCCTGTCCTGAGCACATTCCTCATCCAAACAAGTTGTGCCGGAGTGACCAGTCCCACCTCTGTCTCCACTGCTCTGTACTTTTGAAAATTGGTATCAGCAAAGAAAAAGGGCTTGGGCATTGCCTTCCCGCTCTGCAAGATTCCTCTGAGCAGGAGGGTGCAGAGCAGTTCTGCCTATCCTCTAAAGCTCGTCTCTGCCTGTCTTCCCTGCTCTCGGCGACGAACAGCTGCCAGCCTTTCACACATTGGAAAAGGTGCTACCAGAGATGATAAAACAAGTTAAAAATGGAATGCAGTAGGAAATAGCTTGTTAAAGCAGAGGCTGATAGGAAAAAAGCCACTAAATGAAATCCTTTTTGACTAGGCTGTCTCAATATGTCACCATAAGGAGAGTTCAGCAAAGGCTCCCCAAGACCAACTCCTAGAGGAAACCAAGCAAATGCCAAACCAGATATTCAGCAAGGGCATGCAGCTGGTGTGCAATAACTGAAAGAGACCTGTCCTAGCTGAAATCAGGAAACCACTGTGCCCCAAAATCAGTGTGTGGAAGTATGGGGAAGGCACCCCTAGGTGCAGGTTCAAAGTGGCTCCTCTGCGTTCATAAATCACTGCACCAAGACATGCTACAGCCAGCACCAGTTATAAGCACAGCTGCCTTTGCTCTGCCTAGCACGAAGGGTCTGTGGGCACCAGTCAAGACCAGTGAAACCAGCAGCCTGAGCTCTTCACAGCCAGGAGCTTCCATTGAAGCTGCCCTGGGAAAGCAGAGAGTGAAACCTTGATCAGCAGCGCAGTGTGTGAAACCCAAGGGGTGAGCGAGGGGAAGCCTTCTCCTTTTGCTTCCCCATGTTTCCCCTCTGTGGTAAGAACAGCTGTCTTTAGAAAATCTACAAGTTACCTGTGCATTTTTGGAGGCTCAGGAACTCCTTGGAACTGGTTTAGTAGTAAGGACAAGGGAAAAGTGCAGCAGGGCTTTTAGCACTGAGGACCCCGGGCATTAAAGATGCCATATGTTCACAAAACCCAGAAGCTGAAAGGGAAAACCAAGGGACACCTTTTGAAAAAACAGCTATCTTAGCTTGGGCAAATGTCCCCACCACAGATACTAAGACTGGTTTTGGGCTGAAGAAATTCTCCTTTGGAAATACAAGTGTTCATAATAAAAAAAAAATCTGAAAACATTGTTATTCGAATGTATTTATAGCAAGAGCTATAAATAGCACAGCCCACAGAAGGCTAAGTCAGAAGAACATCTTTCGTTGCTTGTTTGGATGATAACCTACCCTTGCAGGTTGACGTCACTCCTTTCTCAGCAAGGCAAGTCTCCAAAGCACATGGAAGCTCCCCTTGAGCACCCGCCACGGTGCCAACTCTCAATCAAGCTCGTCTTTCACATCGCTTCACACCAGAGCACCCGCCACGGTGCCAACTCTCAATCAAGCTCGTCTTTCACATCGCTTCACACCAGATCTGCCAGACTCTACCTCCCAGCTCCCCGGTGCCAACTGCCTGCCCTTCTTGCAGCTTTAGGAGTTGCATGGCAATGTCCTTAGGTTAGCACAGATCAGAGGAGTGCAATGACTGGGGCTTGCTGATGGCTGTTTTAAATACTTTCGGCTTTTGCAGCTTTCCCCATCCTCCCTGCAAAGCTCTAGCCTCCTGGTGGCAGCAAAGCCCCAGGACCCCACCAGGAGCCATTGTTTCACCTACAGTTTTGCATTAATCAGTGCTAAATCCACTTACACACACAGATGCGATGAACTCACATGAATTTTTTGAAGCTCTTCTGTCATCTGGTTGAGCCCTCTGGTTTGCTAAGCTTAATTTCTTGGAGATTCGATTCTGGTGACTTCACTCTTAGCATTTATGTCTCTAGAGGTGAAGTGATGGGTCACAGTGTTTAGAGTGCTGAAAATTCTTGTTTTCTCATCCCCAAAGTGATCCTGGACTTTCAAGACTCACGGGGGATGTTTCCAAGGCTCAAGGGAGAATCTACATAGAAAAAAGAATTGTTGATGGAGTAAATGATGAGCCCTCTGCTATCTTCACTGGGTCCTGGGATGAGGAAAAGCAATTACGGACACATTGATCACTGGGCCAATTTTAAAATCTACCCTCAGGGGCCTGACCTACTTTGGACTAAGCGTGTTTGTTCACTGGGAGTTTCCCCCTGCTCCCCACAGCAGCTGCAGCCAGAAGGACGCTGCTGCTCTCCTCTGCAGCCGTGCTGACAGACACATCACAGCCCCCTCCACAGCACGCGTCCTCAGCCCGGCCCAGAGCTGGCCACCCCACTAATGGGGCAACTGGGAAAAGCTGGGCAAACACATTCTTACTTTTTTTTTCTTGGCAGGACAAATCTAGCCTGGAGCCCTTGAGAGACTGTAACAATGAGATAATCTCCAAGGTCAGTTTTGCCATTGCTTGTTGGTGTGATTTACCAAGGGAAACAGCTGAGAGCAGCACCTTTTGCCTCCAGACAGCTGGAACAAGGTGTTGCGGCTGTTTCCAGGCCCGGAGCAGAGGATATAAGGCACTGGACAGGAGAAGGCTTCTCGCTAGGGGCTGGCTCTTTTCCATCTCTACCATGAGGCAGACGCAGGTCAGTCCAGATGGGCAGCACAGGCTGTGCAGATGAGGAAAGAGGGGTGCGTAAGTCCCCGGTCACCCTATAGCTGCCCTGCATAGACCTCTCCCTCCCTAGCAGCTCGGAGGCACCTGCTCATCCTTTTTCGCTGTCCTTCTGAAAGGCTGAAGAACGAAGGTACTCTCGTTTCGCCCCAAGAATGGCATGCATAGCGCTTATCCAGCCACAGATGAAATACTTTTTCCCATGTAAAGCAAAACATAAAATTGAGTGCAACCAGTCTGATCACAATCCCGCTGATTTCCCTGCACTTTTCTCAGATGGGGACAGGAAAGTAAGGTGCACATTTCCCTGTCAGAATTGGTTCTCAGGAATGACGATAATCACAACATCTACTGGATTATTATTTTATGTGCATACATATATGACTATGTATAAGAATGTGTGTATGAGTATGCATATGTGTGGGCTATTGGGTGGACACGGGATTTGAAGTAACAACCACATACTTTTCTCTCCCTGCCTGCTCCCATTTGCTCAGCATTAAAGTAGGCTGTCGTGTATCACTGGGATTTGGGATGTTAGCGGGACCTCATGACAGAAGCGAGTGCCTGAGGGGCAGCTATGTTCTGCCTCTGACACCCTGACAGCTGGGAAAGGCTCCAGGAAATCACAGTCTCCTCCGAACTGGGATGAAACAACAATAAGAGAAACACCTTAAATTCTGCCTGCTGTTGAAATTCATAATCTTTCCAGGCTCTGTGTCTGAAGATAACATGGGGGTCAGACTTGATGCGGCAGTTTGGACATCTAGTAATGCTGCCACAGATGAGCAAAGCACAGGGCACAGCAAAAGGAAAGCAGAACGGAAATCCTGCTCACTGCTGTGACGAACAGGGACTGGAGAAAAAAAAACAGGTGAGGATGAAAAATATCCAGGATTCTGTGCCCACTTAACCTTGCCTGGATACACAGAGTTTGGACTCCGTGTCAGACACGGATCACGTGTAAATGGAAACCTCTGTCTGAAGGGCTGCAAAGTGATGCGGGGCTGCCCGGCAGGCAGCGCGTCGGAGCAGGAGCCAGACTGTTCCTGACAGTGGCCTCAGCCGTCCCCAGGCTTTTCATGTCCCGGTGCCTCAGTTTGCCCACCTGCACAGTAAGCTCTGCTCTTCATCAGGTACTCGCAGACAGGATGAGGGGAGCTGCCTGCACTTAGCTAAACCGGTGGTTTTGCTGGTTCATTTCCTCTGGAAACACAGTATGGGAGGGGAAAGGCATCCAAAGTCTGCAGAGGTGGGAGGTGAGGCAGGCTGGGCAGCCGGGTGAGAACGTGCCCCTCAGGCTTGTGGAAAGCGGCTGGTCTGGGACACAGCTCGGGACGCAGCAGGAGCCCCATGCCTGGGAGCAGGCAGCAGGCAAGCACAGAGGTGGAGCTTATGCTGGGTTTTTGTGTTAGATATAAAAGGCTTAGATGGGTCAGTGCCAACCACAGCGCCCGGGACATGGATGAGGAGCGAATGGAGCGGGGAGCGGTGCCGGCCATGGGCAGGGCAGCCCCAGTCCTCCTGGCCCTGCTCAGCCTGGCAGCGGCCGTGTGCGATGCCCAGGACGCCTGCCCAGGTGAGTGTCCCGCAGATCCCGCTGCCATCCCAGACAGTCCACTTCACCCTCCACGGCACAGGGAGCCGGGTGATGGGTACGGCTTTTTGCCTTCCTTGCTTTTTTAAATCCAGCTGCAAGTGGGAGGAGGGAAAGGGGGAGAATGAAGTCTCAGCAGCCACTTTACAGAACTGCTGGCTCCAGCCAAAGATGTGGCATCGTCCCCTGCTCGCCAGTGGGATCTCCAGAAACAGGCTATCCCGCTGAGGTTTTCCATCCTGGTTAAGGGATTTTGTTCATGGTGCTTTGGCCCAGTTACTAAAGGATGCAGAGCAATATGAAGCATCAGTCGAGTGCTTGCCGGGTGCCAGGCTGCTTGGCAGCTTGAGGACACTGCACAGCACAGCTTTCCATCTGTATTCCTTGGGAAGGCGATACGGGTGATTTCAAACTGACCTGGTGTCAGGAAATTTGGTAGAACCTTTACTGTCCACAGATCCGTCAATGTCACTTACTCTGCTGTCAGTTCCCCTAGGGCACATCTCAGCTTTTATTTTATTAAGCTATTGTGTATTTGTCGTGCATGTAATGTCATATATAACAACCTCCTCCCTCGCTGAACTCCCCTGAACCCTAAGAGAATCAGTGTCTAGCTCCTCGAATATGAGAGATCCTCAATGCCATCTGTTAATACATACAACACCACCAAACTGCCACCCTCATTGCTTTTGCTTGCACTGCTCCTGAACTCAGAGGGTTCATTTTCCCCTCCAAGACATTGAAAGCCCTAATAATCTCCACAAAGACTGTCTTCATTTCCTTAGAGGTGAGAATAGTGGGACTGGGTGATGCTGACCGGCTCGCCGTTCTCCAAGGATGCCCAGGGATCCCAGGTGCCTCTGGCTCAAAAGGAGAACCAGGTCTCCCAGGAGAAAAAGGTGAGGCCCCAAAAGCCAGCAATGGACGCTGTGGTGTGAGATGGCTTTGTTGCTTTGGGCAGGGGAAGCAAGCTGAGGCTGAGCAGTGGCTGGCCTGGCACTGGTGAGCAGCTGGAGAGTCGAGCGGGAGTGGAAACCCCCCATCTAGAGATGTGCTGGCACACATGGAGACGTCTGTTTTTCCCTCCGTCTTGTCACAAGTCACAACTCCCTTGTTTCTTCTACAGTAAAAACATCCATTTGTTTTCTGAGTCTTTACTGAGCAGTCTGGGTGTGAGCAAGGCTGCGACGCTCCTGCATGTCTACCAGGGAACAGTCTGGGAAGCATACCGGCACCCCCAACCCCGGGAAACAAGGGAGATGGAGGTCCATCAGGGTTTTCAGAGTCCACTCATAGAGAAGGTGAATCACATTGACAGAGGGAGCAGATCCCACCACAGCAAAATCCATGGACTGGCTCCAGGCTGTACAAAGATCATAGGAATTCATACGTGAACTGCAAATAGGACTTACACTGGCAGTACCAGTGTGGTGTAGTTTCAATAGAAGAAAAGCAGTAAGATCTGTTGCAAGACTGAATCTAACTGAGAAAACCCAGCTTCCTTGTTTCTGCAGAAGCCAAGGTTCATCTGCCCAGGCTTCTGTATCATCTCCCCTCTGGTCAATGTGCACGCACAAATTGAGTCTTTCCTTGCAGGAGAAATGGGAGCCCAGGGACTCCCCGGGAAAGCAGGACCACCTGGTGCAAAAGGTAATGTGTAACATATTCAGCTTTAATCCATAAATCTACCCAAGTTCAGGACATGCATTGGGATAGTGGGTCTAAAGAGACGAGCTGTAGAGCCGGTCATAGTCTAAGAAACAGCCTTGAAGTAGCGTAGGCAAAGCAGGATTTGAGGGTATTGATCTTGCATGGGGTGAGTACTAGAAATAGTGTCCTTGAGTGGGACCACATCACAGAGGGAGATACTCCTATTCTTCTCGAAGTTCCCCGCTGACCCTTACCAGCCCCTAAAATCAGACCTCTCCCCATTCCCCTCTCCTCCCCTACCCTGCCTCCACGGCGTCAAACCTGCCCCAATGATCCCCTCTCTGCGGAGCTCCAGGGAGCTTCAACCAGGAGGCCTGGTGTGCAGACACAACACTGAGTGCTTCCAGCAGCCTCCAGGCCTGGGCTCGGCGTGAGAGGCCATCGCAGCCCACCAGAAGGATGGATCAAACCCCCCGGGAGACAGCTGACATGGGGTGAAGCACGGAGGGAGTGGGGATTTCTTTGCAATGTGATGAGCCCCTGAAAAGCAGATGATTTCTGCAGAGAAACCAAACACTGGGAAAGTGTCTCTTCTAAAGAAAGTAGTTCCCAGCCCAAGGTGGCACAGGTGCACTGACCAGCTGGGAAAACAGCCCCTTTGCAAGATGAATAGGTAGTTATTTCCTGGCCAAAAGCTCCCCAGACTACAGCTGAAACCCCAGCAGGGGATGGATAAACCCAAGGAAAAAGCAGCTATTGCCCAAAATGTCGCAGGTGCCCAAGTGAAAACAGATAGTCCCCTCAAAAAGTCACTGAGATGGATCTGTGAATCCCCATCCACTCCAGCAGACGGAGCAGTTGTTCCCTCTCCCTGATGTCCTGCTCTTCCCGCTGTTCCTGAGAGATGCAGCTGACCAGGAGAGCAGCCAGGCCGGGGTGGCCGCACCAGCTGGGTGCACGGTAGAGCCCTTGGCTTTGCGCCACTTGGCAGCCTCTCCTGTACATTTGGGACATACGGATGGGCTGCAGCAGCCTCCTGGGGAGCCACGGGAATTCCCTCGCATTGAGTCCTCTGTGATGAGCATTTTCCTCTTGTCTCCTACAGGGGCAGCTGGAGAACCTGGCTTCCCAGGACTGAAAGGTAAGTTATGCTGTGCTGAATTTATCATCTGAGCCTGTTTAGGTAAACTTCCACCCTGTGCTTGTCTGGAACAACACACCAGATGGGAGCAACTATAGAGAAATACAAGTACCCACCAGGTCCTGGCTGGGGCTGTCTGGTGACAGTTGTGCCCCATTGTAGGCTCAGCACCAGCCCAGGTGCTGTGAGCAGCCCCCCTCCCAGACCAGCTCTTCAGCGACAGGGGCTGCCCCCAGCTCGGGCACCCCATGCCGCTGCTCGGCACCATCAGCTACAGAACCCGCAGGGCTTCTCACGCCCCAGCCTGCGGGACAGCCAGATTTGGGCAGACGTCTGGCCTGCCCATGCTACAGCAAAAGGAAGAGGCTGGGATGAAACTCAGTCCCTGCTAGTGCCAGAGGAACACGTCTGTCTACCAGCACTAGCAACAGGGCAAGGGCAAAACAAGTTTATTTCCTGATGCCATCACCCTGCACACGAGGGCCACTTGCCGAGCACTGTCTGCGCTGTGGCTTCCCTCCCTGGAGCTCAGCTGGTGACAGCCAGGGCCAAGTGCTGCTGATCTGGGGCTGGTTCAGCACATTTGCTCCCACTGTCACAGCTGCTCCCAAGCCACAGACTGAGGCCCTCTGCCAGCAGCAGCCATTCCCTGCTCGGGGCTTTCGACCCTGCCTTCCCTCCTCCCTCCCACGCCGCCTGCTCCGGCCCCGTGTGTCCCAGCCCAATGGGTCTCACTGGCACCCAACGTTGGCACCCAGCTGTGGGGGCTGGCCAGCAGCAGGCAGAGCAGCCAGGTCCAACAGAGGCACGGCTTGGGTCAGTCTTGCCCTTTGGACTTCCTGGACCCAAATCAGGTGTCAGGGGAAGATATATCCAGGTGACTGAGGATGCTGGGTGCCACTGCTGTAGTTGCAGGAGTTTGTGACTTGGTTTCCCACCTGCCATTGTCCCCGGTGCTCTCGTGGGTCTATGCAGATGGGCTGGTGGGTCTCCTCTCCTGGGCCCAGCAGCAGCCAGGGCAGGACGTTATACTGAGTTATTCCTCCTGCCTGGCTTGTCTGTGCCTCTGTTGTGTGCGCAGATGAGCTAAACACTTCCCCTACCACCACAGACCTCTACCAGTGCAGAAGGATTTGTCTTGAAAAGCAAATGCTGCCAAGTGCTGGAGGAGGGGAGGGCAGGGTGTGGAAGGTGAAGAGCAATTGATGGTGGTGTTTGTCCAAAAGGAACAAAAGGAGAGCCTGGATTTCCAGAAGCATGGGGTGAGTTTCATCCTAGGTCCTTTATGCCACCGTTGGCTTTGCAGAGCAGAGGGAGGTGGAGTCCCTGCACCAGAAGTCAGGACAGGACAATCTGAAAACAAATTCAGAGTGACCCTGAAGGACAGAGTAAGGAAATATCACTGTTAACCCTTTTGCTTCTTACAGCCACATGCACCTTCTGTGTCTACTCTGTAAACCAGCCAGGGCAGGAAAGTAATCTCAGCTGAGCACTGCTCGAGTCACCCGCTCTCTGTGTCTGTTGGAGCATGTCGAGCCTCAGCCTCCTGGTTCCCAAGATGAAAGCAGTAGAAACACCTCTGTAGACATGCTGGTACCTCAAAGGCAATGGTACCACCCCACGTGCAGTGGCAGGTTCTGTAGACGCAGAGTTCACCTGTGTGTGATAGAGCTCAGACTAACTTCATTGTTTGAATAAAAAACAAGAAAGAAAGAAAACAAGCAAGCATCAGTTGACCCATCTGCCTCCATGAGGTAAAGCCAACGCAGAGCTACATCCTGCTCTGGCTACACTTGGGTGCCGTAGGGCCACACTTCGTGCAGAGGCTCGGGCACCTCAGAGCTGCTGTAACGCCTGACAGAGTGAGACTGGGATGCACTGAACCGGCCCCTTGCTGCCACGGGCACTCCTCTGCCCCTTGATGTTTCGTGGGCACGTAAAAACATTTGACTAGTAAGGGACAGGCCAAGGCCAAGCCCACCCCTCCGTCAGGAAGGAGACCCCTGCCCACAAGCCAGCCTGTGCGTCCGCGCATCAATCACAGCACGCCCAGACACCCGCACCACCCACAGCCCCGTCTCAGACCATCTCCCAAGGCTTTCCCCTCTGGAAGCCACAGACACAGCTGTAAGCTGGGATATCTGGCAGGGACGGTCCCAGTCTATCCTTTGGCATCGTGAATCTGAGCTTCTGTCTTCAGGTATAGCTTTGGGGAGGGAAAATAAATTTATACAGATGTGTGTATTCAAAAGTGCTGTCTGTCCAATCAACAGAGGATGATCTGAACACTGTTTTCTGTACTAAAGGTAGCTGCTTTTCTGTGTCACCACTCCTTTGCTGCCAACTACCCACACACTCCCTGTGTCTCCCCATATGCTTCTGAGCCTGGACAAACTCCTGGGCCATGAGATTGTCATCCAGCTCAGGGCAGCTCCATCACCCAGACCCCCAAAAGGGCCATTGCAGATGAGAGGAGTCTGAGCACCTCAGACCGTCTCTTAGCAGGTGCCCATCTGCCCTGTGAGAAGTGGGCTCAGGAACAGCAGCCGGGTTTGGCTCCCGGTAGCTGCGTGGCAGAGCCCTGCAGTGCACGGAGCCAGCTGGGAGGCTGACGAGTGCAAAGCTTCCAGCTCAGGGCACGAGGCTGATGCGCTCCCCGGATGCGGTGAGCATGGAATCACAATGTCACTGAATCCCAGCATGGCAGGGGTTGGCAGGGCCCTCTGTGGGTCACCCAGTCCAACCCCCTGCCCAAGCAGGGTCACCCAGAGCAGGCTGCACAGCACCGCGTCCAGGCGGGGCTGGAATATCTCCAGAGAAGGAGACTCCACAGCCTCCCGCCCCTTCCTCCTGACCCCCACCCTGCAGATATTTCGAGGCATTTCTAAGGTCCCCTCTCAGCCTTCTCTTCTCCAGGCTGAACAAGCCCAGCTCCCTCAGCCTCTCCTCATAGGAGAGATGCTCCAGTCCCCTCCTCATCCTTGTAGCCCTCCGCTGGACTCTCTCCAGTAGCTCCTCATCTTTCTTGCACTGGGGAGCCCAGAACTGGACACAGCACTGCAGATGGGGCCTCAGCAGGGCATAGTAGAGGGGAAGGAGAACCTCCCTTGACCTGCTGGTTCTAACTCTTTCCACTTCATCACTTTCCCTGATTTGCACGGAAGCCAGGAACTGCCAAGAGCTGCTGGGCAGAGGGAAGGTCCTGAGCGGCTGGTACACCATCTACCCCCAAGGTTGCAATGCCACCACTGTCTTCTGCGACATGGACACGGACGGCGGAGAGTGGATTGTGAGTAGGATGAGGAGAGGGAGGTTTCTATGGCCTTACAATGATTTTTTACTAAGGCTGCAAAGGATAGCACCAAAATAGAAACAAAAAAAGAGAAGAACACATGCACTGAGGGGACAGCTGAGGTTCACGTCAGCAAGACTGGGTGAGTCCCTGTGGATGCAGGAGATTCTCCCAGGAGATGTCTCTGGAACAAGCTGAGCACAGCAGACCCACTCCCTGCTTAAATCAGCAAACCATTTCCTCCACATCTTGCAGGGCAGATGGAGGCGATCTGTGAGCGAGGGACTCCCCTGGGGCTTGGTCCACAGGGATGGGCAGGAGTGTCCCAATGCAGGGGAAGCGTTTGCTGCGGATGATTTCAGGGTGCATGGCCTGGGGGGCTGAGGATCTCCTTCCCTTCCCTTCAGGTATTCCAGAGGCGCTGGGATGGGTCAGTGAACTTCTTGCGCGACTGGGACTCGTACAAACGAGGCTTTGGGAACCAGCTGACGGAGTTCTGGCTGGGGAATGACAACATCCACTTCCTCACCTCACTGGGTAAGGTCTGCCTCTGTCCTGGGCTGGGGCCCTGGGAGTCCAGCCCCGGGTCATTAAAGGACTCGGAACTTCTCGCATCCGTCTGAGGCCCCAACAGTTATTCCTAAACAGCACGCAGGCTCTTGCAGCCCATTGCACACAGGGAACTGCACTGTGTAAAAAGGAAAAATAGAAATTAGAGAGTGGTGGTGAATGGAGTTAAATCCAGCTGGCGGCTGGTCATGAGTGGTGTTCCCCAGGGATCATTTTTGGGTCCAGTCTTGTTTAACATCTTTATCAATGATCTGGGTGAGGGGACTGAGTGCTCCCTCAGTAAGTTTGCCGATGACACCAAGTTGGGTGGCTGTGTCGATCTGCTGGAGGGCAGGAAGGCTCTGCAGGTGGATCTGCACAGGCTGGATTGATGGGTCGAGGCCAACTGTATGAGGTTCAACAAGGCTAAATGCCAGGTCCTGCACTTCGGTCACAACAACCCCATGCAACGCTCCAGGCTTGGGGAAGAGTGGCTGGAAAGCTGCCCACGGAAAAGGGCCTGGGGGTTCTGGTGGACAGTTGGCTAAACATGAGCCAGCAGTGTGCCCAGGTGGCCAAGAAGGCCAACGGCTTCCTGGCTTGTCTCAGGAATGGTGTGGGCAGCAGGAGCAGGGCAGGGATCATACCCCTGTGCTCGGTACTGGTGGGGCCACATCTTGAGCGCTGTGTTCAGTTCTGGGCCCCTCACTACAAGAAAGACATTGAGTTGCTGGAGCATGTCCAGAGATGGGCTACAAGGCTGGTACAGGAAGTTCTACAGGAATTTCAAATAAACCATGGTCTCTCAAGTAGTAGAAGTTCCTCTCAAGTTAGCTTAGGGATCCTTAAACCCTCTGCCCTGAAATCCAGGCACATACCTACCATCAGCCCTGCACTACTGCTGTCCACCTTCTCCTCTAGGACCCTGTGAACTCCGCATAGACCTGAGAGACTTTGAGAACAACTACTATTTCGCCAAGTACGCTTCATTCAGAGTTTTAGGAGAGTCTGAGAAGTACAAACTGGTTCTAGGAGACTTCCTTGGTGGAAATGCTGGTAAGTTAGCAGCAGCTCACTGGGAAAGGCTATTTTCTAAACCATTTCAGAAGTGTCCAGCATTCAGGGTGCAAAGCTGTATCATGCAAACTCCTTGTACCATCTACATGCTGGGTCAATTTTTTTAAAACTGGCCACGGTACCCCAGGTGCCGAGTGACCTCTGGGTGCAGGGAAGGACAGGGACACCCATCACCCACAGAGTGTGACCCAGAGCAGTGCCGACAAGCCTAGCCACATGGTTTAGCAGCAAATGTGGAGCATGGTCCTGCTCTACACCTCATCCAATGTAACCTTCCCAATAGCTCTGCAGCAGCCGGGCCAAGGTCTGCTTTCAGTTATATTGGAGGGAAATACGTGCCTGCGAGGTCTGGCATTTCCAGGGCTGGGGTGCTGTGGAATACTTGCAGCTTTGGCACTCCATCCGCTTAATGACTGATGGTTTGTTTTTCTTTAAAAAGCAAACAAATCCTCTGCAAAATTCAATACCACTCTTGAAGGAATGAGTGAAACCAACACCTGACATAGCAGGGCCTTGGGTTTGTGTGGCTCTGTGCACTGCGAGTCTGTCTGATCGTCAGTCCCTCAGTATGTCTGCAGAGAATTGAGCAGTGCAAGAGAAGCGACACCTGTGTAACTGCGAGCAGAATCTGTCCCATTTGATTCATAGGCATAGATAAGGTCTCTGTGTGTTTTAGCAGTCCTGGCAGGATACTCTTTTTCTCCAAGACCAGGGAGGAAACCTGGGCTACCAAGAGAACAGCAGGATTTACAGAATCTGCCTGACACCCAGCAAGGCCCGCTGATCCCCTGCACAGACACGTTAAGTTCCCTTTCGTGCTCTCTGTTGCAGTAACCGTGAACATGTGCTCTCTGCAGGAGACTCCTTGTCGTACCACAAGGACATGGCATTTTCAACAACAGACCAGGACAACGACATGAGCTCCTTTAACTGTGCTGCAGAATACAAGGGAGCGTGGTGGTACAACGACTGCCATTACTCCAACCTGAATGGGATGTACTGGCTGGGCGCTCACGAGAGCTATGCTGATGGCATAAACTGGAAGACGGGCAAAGACTACCACTACTCCCATAAGCGAACGGAAATGAAATTCAGGCCAGTTTAACACAGCAGGAGGGTGTCTAACTAGCACCAACAAGTACCACTCAACAGCCAAGAGAAGACACAAAACATAATGTTGATTGAGGGCAAAATTGGACCAGGAAGGATATTACTGGTTGTGCCTGCAGCCTAGAGCAGACTTTTAGAGAACAAAAGAGATGGGTGCTGGTTTGAGCTCCTGTAAGCACCAGATTCTTGCCCTGGACTACCCCCAGCAGCCCCGCAGATGCTGACTGCACCTGAGCATCTTTTACTGAAAACTGTTTTACCTTGATTTAAAGACAAACTGATGGTGAGGCTACTGCAACTCAGGAAAGCTCTCAGATACTATTACCCTAGTATTACCTTACTGTAATGGTAAGTACTGGTAATTATCAGCCTAATCCACATATATGATGCCTCCCATGTTCTTGCAGCCTCTTTTTCTGTTGGACCCAAGAGCCATTTGAAAGGTACTGAATTCCCAGGCACCACCCTCTCCCTGCAGGCTGTGATGGAGCCACGATGTAGGCCAGCATGGGAAGGACTGAGCTTCCAGCATAGGGCTGTCAGCATTGCCCCCTCCCTTCTTCCCTCCCCACTGCTTCACCCAACATGTGCTGCAGGACCTCAGGTGGGACCTCAGCTCCTGGAACCATAGCATCATTGCCCAGCACTTCCCACCACGGCAGAGCTGCACTGCGCCCAGAGCCGGCTTCAGCCACTCCTCCAGGGCACGTCCCCAGATCTAATTTCTTAGCCGCTGCAGACCAAGACTATAAATATCTTGAGGATGGGTGTCAAGAAGAAGATGGGTCCAGACTCTTTCCAGTGGTGCCCAGCGACAGGACAAGGGGCAACGGGCACAAACTGAAGCAGAGGAAGCTCCAGCTGAACCCGAGGAAGAACTTCTTCCCTCTGAGGGTGACGGAGCCCTGGACCAGGCTGCCCAGGGAGGCTGTGGAGTCTCCTTCTCTGGAGATATTCAAGACCTACCTGGACAAGGTCCTGTGCAGCCTGCTGTAGGTGACCCTGCTGCGGCAGGGGGTTGGACTAGATGATCCCCAGAGGTCCCTGCCAACCCCTGCCATGCTGGGATTCGGTGTGATTCTGTGTTTGTCTGCAGCAGAGCCGGTGGTCTGGGCACAGAGAACACCTTCCACCGATTTTCTGAGGTGTCCTTGTGAGAGGGTTGCATCTGAAGAGCAACTAATGCCATGGATGAGTCAGGATAAAACAAGCTGCAGCTGGGGAAGGGAAATCATTTCATTGTGGTTTGGTCCTTTTGGCTTATGTGCTGCTGGGGTGGCAAAGATGAATCCAACACCCTTTGCACCATACTTGTGCTGCTGCCATTCCCTTGTGCCCACCCAACCGAACTGAAGGGGAGATTTAAGACACCAGCTGACCCTGCCACAAACTAAGGGCACATGGGGGCAATGGATTCAAAATGCCACTCTCTCATAGGTAATACTCTTCTGTAAATTACTTTAAACTAAAGGTTTATTATGCTAGCTGTGCTGATTGAGCATGAAGCCATTTGTTTAGTTGTGTTTGGTGCCTATGTTTGGAAACACGGCATTTCAGCAGCACCGCTCAGCAGACCCAGGATGATTAAACACAGCAGTCAGGGCTGATGTGGAAAAGAACCACAAGACTTTATTCCCAAATGGCATTTATAAAAACAAAGACACAGTGGAGG